TCTAATGAAGATTGAAAAGGATGTTTAATACTTAGTTGGAATGAAAGGTGCAATTTATATCTCTTTGTTTTGTACTGTGTAGTATTGTTTCTCTCACTTTCGGTGTTCTATTTGTTATCTAAAGAAAGTAGTCCCAAAATCTGTCCCAAAGTTAGATCCCCTTTTTACTCTGCAGTCTTTTCACTTAAATTTTGATTTCTGTCTTATTATTATATAGTCTATCATCGACTTCTGTTGGGTATAAGAAATAACTAACAAATAAAACACAGCAATAGAGTAACATATCAAAGAAAAAACGGAGAATTACGCAATCAAATAAATAACAAAATAACAATTTCTGGGGACACAAATGTATCCAAGTTGAAAATTTAATTGGTGGTTCTCAGACTACGAAAGCACGGAGAACTATCACTAATCTAAAGAAAAGCACCCATAACTCATTAGGTAACTTAATTCCTATCGAAAAGTGGCAAAGTCGCTATTAATATTTACTCCAAGAGTCCAGATTGGAATATATGGAAGAGGAATAAGATATGGAGAGACAAACAAATAGTAACATTAATAATACTAACAACGAGGTTACTGCGTTAATTAAAATAAAAAAACGGGTGATCTCTAGTACATGGCATTATAGCTGTAGAGCAAGGATGGCCAACCCGCGGCACGCGTGCCACTGTGTGGCACGATTGAGTCCTAGGACTTTCAAACTGATCAAACTTTCAAAAAAATTAAAACTTGAAAAACAAAAAATAATAAGAAGAAACTTGGTTGGTTTACCAACTTGGTTGTGCCAGTATCCTAGCAGTCGTAATGTGCAATAGGGACTGCGTTACCTTGCTTAGTTTATTTTAAACTGCCCCGTTGTATGTGCACATTTTGTCATCGCGCATTGGTTTTTTAAAATTTTAAAAGTATTTGTTCGATATGTCCACGAGTAAGCCTTCGACTTCAAAACGAAAATACGAAGATTATATTGCAATTTGCGATTTTCAACGTGCTTGGGAAGACCAATTTTTATTTACTAATCGTAATACTTCAAAGCCTGTTTGTTTGATATCTGGATTATCTGTAGCAGTCCGAAAAAATTTAACCTGAAACGACATTATAAACAACTGCATAAGAACTTCAGCAACAAATATGCTATTGGTTCACATTTGCGAGCCGACTTTATTGAAAAAAAAAAGAAAACCCTAGCCAGCCAACAGTCACTGTTTCAGAAGAGAAGTGATGAAATGGAAACTATGGTTTAAAATATCATATGAACTTTCTCTGCTGTTAGCCCGGAAGAAAAAGCCTACTCTGATGGAGAGGAGATAATTAAAAATAGTCTGGCAATATTTGGTAAAAATGTAAATTAACTTTACAACTATTATGTTACGTTTCGTTACAATTAAATCGCTTTCCCGATCTTCTTCTGACTAACTCCTCAATGAGAATCTTCCGTTATTTATATGAAACCAGCTTGTAAACAGAATGTTGTAGAAAACACGATGCCGTTCTCGACGTAGACACAGCGGCGACTGGTCTTAAAACTGGTATGTTTTTTTTTATCGGCTAGTCCCCAGAAAGTTCGATTGCTGTTTGGTTTAGCGAAGGGAACCCAAAGGGTGTCAGGTAGATTTTTGACCTAGAAATTACGAGAATCAATAAAAAAGAATTAGTCATAAAATATTTACATTTCTATACGCCATAACATTTAAAATCGTAACAGTACATAAACGAGGACGTGGAAATCAAACAAGTGGAAAAATTTAAATATTTAGGTGCAGTCATTGATGAGAACGGCTTGGGAGGAGCCGAAATTAAACAACGATTGACACTAACGGAGCAGTCGCCTTTCCATACAACACTTCATCATTGACCGTACTATTGGGATTTTTGCCTTGATATAAATCACAGTTTATGAGATATCCTGCCTTAGTGTTCAATGACCAGATTTTGTACCCAAAACGTATGTATTTTATGGATTTACTCTTAAATAACTGTTTACAACTGTGCCTACCAAAATATTTAACTATACTTTTTTTTAATAAAAATTTATTTTTAGCATATTCATAAAGGGCGGATTTTCCAGGCTTTGTCGTTTTCATCTGGATTAATGTTGTCAGCAAAATGCAAAAACTGCATCACTTGTTCGAATCTATTTTTCTCATTGAATTTTTCACGAAATCATTGCCCATGTCACGTTTTGAGTCCCAGTAGTGCTTTATAGCTGTCTTGTGGTTGTATCCACTCAAAATTAGAATACCAAGAGCACACTTTACCTCTTCTCTAGTGATATTTGGATCTTGGACGTTTTTAAAAAGAGCATACTTTCTAGTCTCATCTATAATATGGGAAATTATATTTTCATCCCAGAAGTTTTCAAAAATTTCAAATGGGGAAAGGTTTGGGAAATATAAAATATTAGCAGAAGGAAAAGCTGCGTTTTGAAATATCAAATCACCATTGGTTAGGGAAAACTTCATTTTTCTTTCACTTGTTTTTTAACTTTTTCTGATGATCTGGAAGGCCCAGCCCCGTCGATATCATTATATATTTCGGAATCTCTTTCACTATTTCGTAAAACAAGTTCAACAGTTACCCTAAAAATTCTCCTGGACAACCTATTCCAATCATAATATTCCTCATCACCAGACTCCTCGTCTGTAAGCACATTCAATTGTGGGGGTTCAGTATATATATATATATATATATATATATATATATATATATATATATATATATATATATATATATATATGTATATCTATATGTATATATATATACTTAATAAATAATTATATTATATAATATATATAAATATATAAAGTTCATAGTTTTGCTCCCATATGTTCCTAGGTTACATATATGTAACATCAAAATAAAAGGAATAATTTACAAAATCAGGATAAAATTTCGAAAAATTTATATTATCAATAAGAAAAGACATTAGTTTATGCTCAATTGAAAACACTTTAAACAAAATATTATAACAAAAAAATAGTAAAAATATACTTACTCAAACTTGAGATCCATTTTTACCGAAAATAATAAACACCGTCGCACCAAACACTCAACTAAATAAACAGGTTAGGTCAAATCCTTGAACCAAACGCTGAAAACTAATAAACAAGTGCCTATTCAAAGTCATGTATCGCCATCTAGTTAACATTAGAATCACTTTACGAATATCAGGCTGATGATTTTAGCGGTTTCTGCGTTACATATATGTAACGCCAGGAGCTTAAGGGTTAATTTAGTCGAACGAATTTGTCAAAAGTTTTAACAAAGCAAGAGTATACAAAATGGGAAATAAAGAAATCAAAATACACTGTTACGCAGATAATGCAATACTTATAGCCCAAGGTAAAAATAGTTTACAAAGACTTGCTCACATAATCATCATAAAAGTAAAAAGATTTAATTAGACGATCTCAGCTCAAAATATCAAAACAATAATAATCAGTAATGAATCAATTAATTCATTAATATCAATCAATCAAGATATAAATTAGAAATTAGGTTAACACTGTCCAGACATTAAGGCCTAAAAAGAGATTTGAGAGATCAAATACAAAACGTACATACACTGGCGGAAAGAGTACTTGAAGAATAGATTGATATCAGAATATAATATATATTACGAAGGTTTAAACGAGTGGATAACAAATATAAAGAATAGAAGAAGAATGTGGATTTATCAATACTTTTTGTTACTAATTGCTTATATTAATGCTTTTGTTTTATATAAATATAGTAATAACAAGCCGTTTTAGTACTCGTAAAAATGTTAATATATATAATTTACATAGCTTTCATTTTCTACGGTAATCATAATATCAAAAATGTCTTTTTTACGAACTTTTTAAAATTGTTAGTCGCCTCTCTCGCTCCATTTTTAAGCTGACTTGAGGTCGACATTAACTTTAAAAAGACAAAAGTTTTTTGTTGGGACTTAAGTGTAATTTTCATGTTTCTTTCGGAATTAACTTTTTATTATCTCTACCTTACACCCCATTTTGCTTAAATTAGCTTAAAATAATAAAAATACCACTTATTTTCATTAAAATTTTTATAATATCTGGCAGGCATTTTTACTTTAGCGAAAAATAGAAAATTTAATAATGTGTATACAACTTGTTCAGGTATTCTCCTCTTTGTTTATGTGAATTAATTAATATATATTAAAAAAATTCAAACTGTGTGTTATCAAAGCCCTGCAGTCATGAAAATAGGAGGCTAGACCATTACAAACTGAAACAAATTCACTTAATAACAATTCGTTTATTAAATCCACTTGTTTTATGGTCGTTTTTGGTAAAACTGCTTGAATAAAATCTCCTTATTTAAAAAAAAAAGCAAAAGGCCCCTACCATTTGCTTCCATTGATTTCTACTCTTGGCAATTCTCATCCACTGCTTGCCCGCGACTTGTTTTGATATCATCTGCCCACTGTTCTGTGGTCTGGCTAATCCTTGCCTGTTCTCTCTTGGTCTCCAATTTGTTAATCTCTGTGTAAAATTATTTCGGGCAACACATCCCGACCCATTGCCACTTGAGCCTTGCTTTAGGTTCTGCAACATCAGTAATCTTTGTACTTTCATGAATGTCTAAATTTCTAATCCTGTCTCTCAAACTAATCCCTAGCCTGGCCCTCTTCATCGCTATATGGGTATACTGAGCTGCTCTAAGGTTTTCTTTGTAAAGACCATGATCTTCAGTCCATATGGAGTTACAGGCAAGATACATTTGTCATAAACTCTACATTTTAGACACATTGGTATATCTTGACAGGAGACACATTGGAGAAATATTGTCCACCAGGTCCTTTAGAGTAGTTAAGAATGTTGTGTATACATATTTTCAGTTAAAATTTCGTTTAAAATAATTGTAATTAGTTAATATTAGGATTATGTTTAAAAAAAATGCCCTATTCCTTAACGGCCTGTTGAGCGTAAAAATAAATAAATAAATCCTTCCAACCTATTTATATATTAAACCAATTTCTTTTGTTCCAGATTGAAAATGAGGTAGATACGAAAATGTAGCCTAGATGTCGTTAGTCACGTCATGTGCATAATCGATACGCTTTCGTTGAGAAAAGTAAAATCAGTTACCGAAATCTTTTATGCAATGTGGATAATCATCATCATAGTCTTCGTCGAAGAATCCGAGAGTGTATCTTTTCTGGTGCACAAGTACAGCACGCGCATCGTTAAGACAAAGTACGGACCGTTGAGAGGCATCATCATCCATATGCATCCGTCGGTGGAAGCGTTCCTGGGAGTTCCGTATGCTACGCCCCCTGTTGGCAGTTTAAGGTAGGATAATTTTCAATTGCCATAGACAGATTGTATAGAAAGACGTTTTTATAGTTATTATTTTATGAACTGTAATATTGTAATATTTCTAAATATAAATATTTTAAGAAAAGGATAGATTTTAAAATTTTTATTATTGGTGTGAAGGTGGTGGATCACAATGTTAAAATTTATATACTTTTAATGTACAGTTATCGTCATTATTTCAAAACAAATCTTCAACTTATGATTTTGTACGTGAACTGTAAATTTTCTTTTTTAATGGTATCTAGTTAAAGTTTCCAAAGAAAGCAGTAAATTTTTCATCACTGTAATTAAATGAATCCATGTCATAACTTACTTGGTAAGCTGCCTAAAATTTGGTATTGTCTAATAATTTTTGAACTTATGTACAAAATAAATACATTAAATGATTAACTATCTAAACGTTTATTATCCATACGGCCGTAATTTTTAAATTATACCTAAACCTAAACTGTACGTAAAGATAAAATTACAATTAAAATCTGCAAACTAGATTAATATTATCAGGATTTTGTTGATATTATCGTAACAAGTTGTCATTTTGGTAGTAAGAAATTAATTCGGCTATTACTTAAAACGTATACGTGTCATTTAGTACAAGGCAGTAGTGATGTATTTAATGTCGAAAAATGCGCCGTTTGTCAAATTTAAGAAAAATCTCCAAAACATTGAAAACTAGTTTTGTGGTTAAGCCAATTGTCTATGAGTTGTGCCTTAGACAAGGAAAGATTCATGGTCTAAGGGTTATGTAGTAACTCTGGAAATACGATTCACGTGGTTTTGTTTGGAAAAGTGGCCCCTTCCCAGTAAACATTTTTGCCTCGTTTGACTTTTAATCATGATTATATAACGTCAATGTCTTAACAATTATATAACAATAAAACACTATAAATTTTGTTTTCAAAACTCCCACAAAATTTGTTATAAGTGATCGACTACAGCTGTTTCGACAGAGAGCTTACTCAAGTGATCTATTTTTGCTATGTTTTTACACTTTATAGTCTTTAACGAAATAGGTTGAGGAGGGGAAAACTGTTTGTCTCAAATTGTTCACTCAGAATTATGTCTGTATTTTTTAATTTGTTAATTTCCATAGATTCTAATAGTGACACATTGAGGCCTTTATTTTTTATCTAAAGATGTAAAATTTGTCATTAAAAGAATGATGATGATCTAGAAGGAAAGTGCGTATGTAGAATCTGTTTTTCTGTTATTGAATTTTATGTTCTGCTATACGTTGGTTAAAGGTTCATACCAGTTTGACCAATGTAAGCTTCTGGGTAGTCGCTACATTTAAGCTTGTATGCACCACTGTAAGTGCTTTTTATTTTGGCTCTTGTTGTTTTTAATACGTTAACCAAAGTTGTTGTTTGTTGTAAAATCTGGTGTTATTTCTTTCTTTTTTATGTATTTGGCTATTTTTGTTGATATTTTGCCTATCTATGTAATCGAGCAGAAGGTTCTGGATTTTTTCTCTGGTGGTGGAAATACTAATTTCAGGGCTTTCTTGTGTAGTTTTTTTATAGAAGTTTTATTAATTGTTTGTTTGTTATATCCAGTGTTTACTGCTATTTACTTAATGATATTGAATTCGGTGTTCAAATTGTATATTGACATCGTCTGTTAATTTATGTAACATGAAATGATACGCTGCCAGTTGTGTAGGATGGGATGATACAACGACCCCACAAAATTGAACTTAAGCTTATACTTATCCTCCCAAGACATCAAAAAAATGCAAAGAGACGCAATGCAAGGCTAAGGCCTAAAAAGGAAACATTTCAATGGACAATTTGTGCAAATTAAAATGCTATGTATGTAAATGTATGTTTATTAAAATGCTTGTGTCAGATGCCCCCGTCGTTTCATTTGATGTTTAATAATGTTGTACGGTCTTCTTCTTTAACACCATTTAGTATTATTAATCATAGTGCCCTATCTCGTTTGATAGTTGATGGTTTGTCAGTCGAACGACGGTTTAAGAAGATTTGACAGTTGAAAGGACAGCTAACAGTTGCTGATAAGAAAGAGAATTGACAGTGAACGCAAAGAGTATATTTGATAATTGAAATGTGTAACAAATATTTTGCGTGCCACACAGGGTATTATCATGGGGGGTTGAAAATTGGGGACAGAAATTATTGGGGTGGAGATAGGGCAAGCAAAACAAATCGAAACTTTGACGAACGGCCACTCAGGGTTTATTTGGAGAACTGGGTCGTGGATAAGTGAATGACAAGGGTACTGAAATAGGGTAACTACAAAAATGAAACAAAAGGGGTACTTACATGAGTCTCTTGGATAAACCAAACACGAGAAGGTTCTCAAAGCTATTTAAAATGAACGCTGCTTTAAAGAGTCTTCATGTCGGATGAAAGAAAAGGTTCTTTCTTTTCTAAAAACACAAAAAGGGGTTAGGAACTTTTTTAACAAAAGAAATAAACAAAATGGTTTAGGAAAAAAAGTTACACATTTATTGTTGTCTCATCACAAACAGTTACAGAAATAAATAATATAAAAGTACTATATTAATAGTTGTAAAAATAAATACAATAACAAAGAGAACACTTACTAAGTGCATAATTTGTAGCAGAAATAAATTATTACAAATGAAGAAATATCTTTTTAAGTGAAACTATGCATAGAGGTTAACCTTTTTTTAAACAAAAACAAAATCTCAAATATGATTAGGTATTTACCAAATGTCAAAAATAGTGCTAACTGTCATATGTCAATACTAAATCTTAAAACTAAGAACAACTAATATGACAGCTAGGCACTAGGCTACATCCTAAGATCTACAATTTTAATCATTACAATTTTTTAAATTATTATGAAAGCAATTATTATTAGAAAATATTTATTTTTCCTTTAAAAATTAACACAATGACACTTCTAACAAAGAGTTACCTGGATTTCACTAAAATTTCTTTACTTTAAATTTCTGAGGTTGGAACTGTACTATACTGGAGATTTACTACCACGCAAAAAACTGCATCTCACACTGCGAATTAGCCTAGAATGACTTTAGACTGACAAAATGAGGATTGAAGGCTGTTCACTGGGATACAAATTTTAGACTCGGCTTCTTAAAAAACTGGAATCATGTGGGTATTTTTCAAATTTGTTGTAAACGCCGTTTTACAAATATCTCAGATGAGTGACGGCATGTTAAATAAAACACAGTAATTACTCGTTCAAAATTGACATATTACATTGAGTATAATTCACTTTTTTCAACAAATTTGCAGGTTTTTGACACCTACACTTACAGCGTCTTAACTGTTCAATGATTTTTCCAAAACCTCACTTAAACTGTAACTATTAACTACTCAATACTACACATTTAACTGATACTGTCACTTTATACTATATTTCCATGACAAAAAAGAAAAACGAAAAGATTACGAATTTGAAAAGAAATTCGGACTCCAATAAAACTAAACAAGCCTTTAACAGCCATCGGCCATATTGAAAGTGAGGTAATTCTCATCCCCGCAATACTTTTTCATCGATATAAATGGATGTTTATTTGAAACGCAAATATTAAGCGAAAAACGATCAAAGAAAATACCAAAGAATATGCTTCTGTGATATATAAACAATATGTGAAATGTGTTTATGTCAACTCGGCGACGCAAAGAGGATTGAAATAATATTTCGTTGTGTTTTTAACTTGTACGAGGGGATTTCAATATATACCAAAGAATTTAAAAATGCTGCAAATGGTAGCTAACGGTTGCTGATAAGTAGGAGAATTGACAACGGTTGCTTATAAGAAGAAGAATTGAAAGATCGAAAAGAAAAAGACTGGCTCGACTAAAATATAAAGATTTGACATTTTAAATGACAGCTCGCCTTTGCTGATACACAGAAGAATTAAGAACACCGAAAAGTAGAAGAATTGACAGACCGAAAAGAAGAATAATTGACAGTTGACATTAGCTACGGAAAAGAAAAACTGACACATGGCAGCCGAAAAATAAGAAGATTTGATGGACCGACAAGAAGAAGCGATGGCGATCTTGGCGGGTCGGCCTTTGTGACGCCGGCTTGCCAAGCACTAAAGGTCGATTCAGACACATCAGTCACGTCCCGTCACAGTCCTGGCGCCGAACCGCACAATCCGTCATACAAAATATTCTTTAATAGAAATATGGCGCCGGCATTCGCATTCATCAGGCGACGAACAGTTTCCCAGCTGTCAGATAATTAATAGTTCTGTGACCAAACAGGACCGATTCGGCGCCGGGACTGTGACGGGACTGATGTGTCTAAATCGACCTTTATACTAACAAAGTAGATGTAAAATAGGTAATTCATTCCATTGACGTTTGGGTGGAAAAGGTTTAGAGACGCCCTGTAAACAGCTAGAAAAATCAAGCAAAAAATAGTTAGATACTTTGCTTTTATTGAATATGCATGCATAGAACACAATATAATATAAATGGTCATATAAAACTTTTAAACCGTTTTGGAGCAATAGTAAAAAATTAGATATTATTTTGTAAATTTAAAATTCCATAACTTTTTCTGAGTGCAGTTTTGCATAGGTGAGTTAGACCAAATCAGCTTATTTGCATCCCTAGTATGACTATTTTTTATGTTGTGTAAATGTTTGCTTAAAATGTGATAGCTGTCTTTAATCAGTGTATTTTAGAGATATTTTAATGGTTCAATTAAGCAGTGACATTTCTGTAAACCGTAATAAGCTGCTGAATTGCACTAAAATGAGTTCCGTATTTGTTAAGTTGGTTTAAGCTTGTATATGCTAATAATATGGATGTTACATAATTAACAAACTAGTCAATTACGTAATGGATTGAGATACATGTAATTGTATCGATCAACTATTTAGTGGAGACTAGAATAATTATATGCTTGGTTATTGGATCAGATTTCAGAATGAAGCGTATCTATATCGACATCGATACAATTTTACCAAAAGCCACTGAAGTGATAAATATTGTTTTAGA